GATATATCGGAGCTTCCCGAACGCTCCGAACCGAAACGAATCCGAGTTGGATTCGACGATTGACCTCTTTCTCGAAATTGGATCTACCTAGCTGGATAGTTTGCCCTAAGTATACGTAGTGATCGACAATTTCGAATGTAGAATCCCCGATTTTTACGGGAGCAGCATCAAACGCCCATGTCGTAGGGCGTTTGACATAATTTTCGTCTTGTCTATGTTCATCTTAAGACCTACTCCTTGTGAGATTCTACTGAGGTCTTCGAGCATTTTGCTAAGGTCTTCCAGAGTCTCAGCCATGACCACGATATCGTCGGCAAATCGAAGGTGATTGATGTACTCGCCGTTAATATTGATGCCCAGCCCACTCCAGTCCAAAAACTTGAAGACATCTTCCAACGCAGCGGTAAACAGCTTTGGCGATATGACATCGCCTTGCCTGACAGGTGGCAGGTTGTATTCTTCGGTCTTCTGAATTACCTGCCGCGGCGTATGAATGTGGTCTATGGTACTGAAGCCTTTTCGGAACCCGGCTTGTTCGGGATGCTGGAAGTCGTCAAAACTGCGCGCGAGACGATTCGTGATGACTCTCGAAAACAACTTATAAACATGGCTCAGCAGTGTTACGGGTCTGTAACCTACTTTTTAACTCTTTATTACTGTCTAATTTTTATATTTAATTAGTTTGAGTTTAGTTCAGTAGAGGACAGTTTTGACCTGAAATTCTATCGTCGGCGATTATTTATTGTAATAGTGGAATAAAGAGACTATAATAGGATATTCAATGAAAAAAATATACAAAAATTTAAATTTGAACTAAGTAATGTTAAAGATAAAAGGATATTCAATGAAAAAAATATACAAAAATTTAAATTTGAACTAAGTAATGTTAAATGGAACAAAATAATCGATATAAATAAAAATATACATCAAAATTATAGTATATTTATAGAAACATTACAGGAAATATTAAATAAATGTATACCCAAAATTACAATAGCAACTAAAAATAAGAAAAATAAATCTTGGTTAACGAAAGGAATAAAAACATCATGTAAAAATAAACGTTTGCTAAAAAAATTTATTTGTAAAATTGATAGTCCTATTTTAAATCAAAATTACAAACAATATGAAAAAATTTTGAAAAAATCAGTTAAATTATCAAAAAGTTTCAAAATATTCAAAGAATAAATAAATCTGAAAATAAAATTAAAACAATGTGGTCTATAGTTAAGGAAAATACAAATAAAAGTATTCGAAATATTAAAAAAAATATAAAATTAAAAATTGAAAATAATATCACAGACAATCCCACAAAAATAGCAAACTCATTTAATCAGTTTTTTGCTTCTATTGGAAATGATAATGTAAACCAAAGTCAGCCATTACAATTAAATAAATGTATGAGTAGCACCATCGAAAACTCTATGTATCTCAAACCGGTGGACTTAAAAGAAATTCAAACTATTATAAAAAAACTAAAAAATAAGCGTAGCTATGGCTACGATGAGTTTCCACCTGTCTTAATTAAAAAATGTGCTGAAGAATTGACGCCTATTTTAACCTTACTTATTAACCAGTCATTTACAGAAGGTATAGTCCCAGACCCTCTGAAAATCTCCTAATCAAACCAATTTATAAAAAAGGCGAAAAATTAGATATAAATAATTATCGTCCCATTTCTTTGTTACCAACGTTTTCAAAAATATTTGAAACTGCAATGTGTGACCGTCTATATTCATTTTGCGAAAAATACAATATCTTCAGCGAGCATCAGTATGGTTTTAGGAAAAATCGGTCAACTTCATTAGCAGTCTTCAAGTATATTAACGAAATAATTAATATCATAAACAACAAAGAATATGCCGTAGGCATTTTGCTCGATATGAGTAAGGCTTATGACTGCGTCCAATACAAAACGTTATTGAAAAAATTATACAACATAGGAGTAAGAGGTCCCGCTTATAAATGGTTTACCTCTTATCTCACAAATCGATCCCAATATGTACAAATAGACCATGTAAATAATCAAACTGGAAAAATAAAAACAGTAAGATCTCAACATTCAAAATTAATAAATTCAATACCTCAAGGAAGCGTCCTCGGATGTATATTGTTTTTAATATTCATAAATGATTTGCCTGAAGTGATAGACAGCCCCTGCACATTGTTTGCAGATGACGTTTCTGTTGTTGTTTCCTGTAAAAATAACCTAAACCTACAAAGTACACTGGATGGTAGTATGTTAAAAATAGTGAGCTGGTTACACTCACACAACTTAAAAGTAAATTTTAATAAAACTAAATTAATGGTTTTCCGTCCATTCCAAAAGAACCCGCTGCAAATTAACTACTCTTTCAATAATATTAAAATAGATTGCGTAGAGAAATATTCACTATTAGGTGTAAATGTAGATTCGAATATTAATTGGAAAGCGCATGTGCAGAGTGTGGCTACCAAGCTGTCTAGATTTACTTATGCACTACACCAACTAAAGATATCTTCTGATACCAAGACAGCCATGTGCGCCTATTATGCATATGCCCACTCTTTGCTCCAGTACGGCATATTGATGTGGGGTAATAGTACAAACGTGATTGATCTTTTTAAATTGCAAAAACGATGTCTCAGAATAATTGCTAACATAGATAACAGGGAAACTTGCAAACCATACTTTATTAAATATAAAATTTTAACTTTACCGTCAATGTACATATTAGAAGCGTGTCATTTTGTTAAATGTAATATGCACCTATTTCCACAATATACCCGCCCTCAGGCATTGCGACCGCAATGTAGATTAGCAAGACCATTCTCGAAGCTACAGTTATTCCATTCTGGCCCTTACGCAATGTCAATAAAAATTTACAATAAAATACCAATTAACTTAAAAGGTGAGGATGATTCTAAAAAGTTTAAAATAGCTCTAAAAAAATATTTAATCGCAAAGAGTTATTATGCGCTACAGGAATTTTTCAAGGAAAAAAGTTAGTTGTGTTTGTGCCTGTTTGTTTTAATGTAGTGATGATTTTTTTTTTTTTTTTTTTTTTATACTAATCAACGATACATATATATAATGTAAAAATTTAATTATGTAGTTTATATAAGATTTATTAATGTGATTGCTGTGCCCTTTCAGGGTTCATGTTTGATTCTATACTTTAGTAAATTAAGACCAATTTTGTTACAACATGTAATAGCAATAAATAAATGAATAAATGAATAAATAAATGAATAAATGAATAATAGATAGTAGAGAAGGTGGTGTGTACCGACCCCTGCGAGTTGTAGACAAATCGTTTTGTCTTGATTAATACCTTTTAATTTTATTATAAGCAGAAATTGTAACAGTTTCTTACTTGAAACAATCCCTTCCTCTAATCTAGAGGTATTGTTAATTGTTGACGTTTTGGAGAACGCATTTGAATGCCCCAATTTCGCTGAGAATATTCAAATGCAATGTGGCAACTACCACCTATCTCTCTCTCTCTATGTAATTTTGTTTACCATTGGTGTTTTCATCACCCGAGAGTTAGAAATATTAAGGGGCACACCTAGTGTGAAATTTTCAAATAATCGATTTTTTTTACGATAGGTTATACCTTTAAAAATAACATACTAAAATTTCAAATCGATATCTTAAATAGTTTTTGAGTTAAAGCCATTTAAAAGAGTAGCCGCTCGGCAGTTAGATAGTTGCATTGGCTACGGGATATACCTGAGCTATTGTTCGGAGTCTGCCGTCTCTTCCAACCCTTGTAATACGATTCCGGTTTTTGTTGCTTGATAGATGCAAAGGTAGTAATACTCAAAACAATAATGAAAGTTACAACGGTTTACTTTGGCACTTTTCACCAAAGCACCATCATAATGGATTGAAAACTATTGAATTAGCAAATTTTTTTGCAACTTCAATATTCAATGACGGTTACTCCTCAATTTTAAAGATATTTAATGTAATGGGAGTAAAAGTTGGACCTGCAGCAAGAGATTATACGGCTCTTAAGGATGAGACGAGACTACGAATCGCTGATCATCGCCAACGGGCTTGTTCAAAAGAGGGTCGATCATCTCGAAGAAGAGCTTCTTCAGCTCAACAAGCACTTTTTGTGGAAGAGGAAGGTGAATTATATGGGGCTGGAATAGCAGATTAGCCGTAAGTATGATTTTAATCCATTTATAACAGTGAAAACGATCATTTTATCTTTAAACGCGTTTTTCTCGAAACAGCATTTTTCGAATTTGCTGGAGTGATTACTCGGAGACAATCTCCTCTATATAGTTCTCCATACGATGACCCTCCAGTTTTTTGATCTGATCAAAAATCAAATTTTGGCAGGACAAAAACGACCGAAATTTTGGGAAAAATCTAACTTTTTTTTTCGACATGCCGCCATTTTGTCAATTTTTGATTTTTTTGTTCGCCCGTGGGTCACATCGTACAGACAATATGTTTTACTTTAACAAGAATTTTTTTTTTTAGGTTTTATCAACGGAGAGGGCTGCAATCACTCCAGCAGTGGAGGACCTTTTTTTGGCGCCGCCGGAGATCGCGTGTCATTTCAAAAATATTTAATATTTTATTTCAAAAATTTTACTGTGTATTCTCAAAACATGTATAATAAATATACCCAAAATTTTAAATAGATGGATTCACTAGTTTTTTTTTGTTTTTAATTCCCAAAAATGGCCTTTTTTAGGTTGTCACACTAGGTGTGCCCATTAATCGATATATGTACTATACGTTTCTTACTACTTACTTCTTCTTACTTATTTTACAACAAGGAATATAAAAATCTGTGTTGGAAATTTTAAGTGTACAGGTTTGATTCGCTCTCTAGTAGTTTTGTTATGTATCTAATATGAGTATTCGAAGTATTTTCCGTAGAGGTCAGAAGGTCATACACCTGACGGGGTACGACCTTCTGACGTGATAGGTACATACATACTATCCTTACACTGACAGATGAGATTTGGCATTCTTATATAAATGAATAACTCGGCATAATTTTAAATTACTATTATAATACACTCGACAATAGTAGCAACATAATATCAGTTAACTTTCTAATTACTTTAAATAAAACTAGCTATGCGTACATTTAATTGATTCTATAGGTCTATGTTATGTTATTTTGTTTTAACAATCAATGTATATTATACAACTACTGCCATCTATAATGTGCATATGCTCTGTTAGCCTCACACTGGCGATGTAAATCCTGCTTCCGCTTAACAACTTTCCCTGTGTTACTTGCTGCATCCAGCAGTTCCCTTGCAAATTGCTCTGGGAAATGGATAGTTCTGTCTTTTTCATTTGTTGCTTCCAGTAACCATTTTATTGCCAAAAATAGAGAGCGTTTTTCTGTAATAGGCCCTGGTACCTATAACACAAAAATGAAATATACTATTACACTTTTTGTAATACATTATTAATTTATTGCCATTTTATGATTAATGTTATTTGATATTTATTTATTGAATTTATTTGATACTATTGAAAAAAAATACATTTTATTTGATTGAATTACTTAATCAAAGTATGTCTGATTAAGTAATTCAATCAAATAAAATCTTGTCATAGCATTACATAATAGATTTGACTTTATTCTCTATTTTATCAACAAGTAAAATTTATAATATGATATTTCAAATTCATAAATACTAACCTGGTAAGTAATACCACCTCTCTTTATTGGTAACAATTGTAACAATGGTTTTGAGTTATCTATGGCTCTATGCAACACTGATTTGGGATCTAAAATTATATTAGCTTTCTGCTCTGGTGTACTCGCTAAATGGTACCGCTCTATTTGTTTTCTTTTAATATTTTCAAACGCTTTTTCAACAAGTTCTCTAGCCAATTTCTTTTTTCCCATTTCCATCACATGGTTGATCACTTTCCTGTAAAGTAACATTATAATTTATCACTAAGTACTAACTATCTTTCCCTTTGAACATTCTGTTCCATATTTATTGTGCAGTTTGGTTTTTCAACATTCATTCTAGCATGCAAGCCAGCAATAAGTCATTGTGAATTTGTGAATATTTCCTAAAAAAACCTTTCCAATTGAAAACTTATAAATTATATTATGAAGCCAAGAGTGAGTTGAGGAGGAAGGCCCTTGCCAACATTTTTTTTATATAAATAAAGCTAGAGCACCATAACTTTGAAGTTCATGTCAATTCTCACTCCTGTAGTTGTTGTAACATTGACTACCAATTGAGAGTTATGTCACAGTGTGTTAAATGGCCATTATTGTGCAGCTATGAATAAACTTGGAATATATCAATAAATGGATTCTGGAAAAAAAACAAAGGCTAACTTTTTTTTTTCCTTGCATGTCAGTATTTAATAAGTTTTCTGTTATAAAAATAGAAGAGAAAATATAATTTTAATAATTATTATAATTCAAATACAAGAAAGAAAGAAGTAAATATTTTATTATTCCTTGAACTTTTATTTTAAGTTATTTGATGATAACTTTAAATTTTAGATTTGATTAGAAACTCTAATGAGTGTGATTCTACTCTCTAGTGATTTTTCTGAGTTTTGCTTGATCTTCCTTTTTTTAGAGTTTCTAATAATATACAGTGATTAAATCAAGTTCATATTTAACACTAGATTTTTTTTATTACTAATGGTATTGCCCTGACAGTCAAGTGTTAATATAGTCAGTGCTCCCTAGATGGAGTTGTAGAAAAATTAATGGCACTATTAAGTTGTTTTTGCCTTTATGACCTAAATTTTTCCATGAAGTAAGTAGAACACCAGTTAACTTAACTTGTTAAACTGTAAAAATGTAAAAGTACAAAAATTGTTTATTTGTGTCTCCTCCTCACTACCACTTACCCTTGGAAACACAACTGATTTTCAATATCTTAAGTGTTATATCACAACTATCATTTTAGAAGTTTTTGGGTGAGAGAAAATGATTCTCAAAATTAGGCTCTTGCTCACCAACTATTCTCTATATTAGAACCTCTCATGCATTATTTATGTAATTTAAAAATATTTTCTATTCCAAACTTTTTTCATTTGCTAAATTTCTGTTCCAGCCAACCTTTTAGTAGATAAATAAATGGTATTGGTTTACCTAACGACTATTTTTTTATATTTTTCAATATACTTAAAATAAATTCAATTGTGTTGGTGCAAAGATACTTTTGTCTTAAAATGTAAGCAAAGTAAGCATATGATTAACATCTCTTAATTTCATGTACCATCTATGAACTTTTTAAAATACTTATCAGATATCATCAAATTAGAAAATATTAATACCTATCAATTACTCGTAACAAAACCATTACTACACAAAATTTGACGCAGGTAATCAATATTTATGTTGAATATTGAATAGTGGTATACACAACCAGGGAGAATACTGTTCTGTGTAAAACCTCAATAAATATGTTTGTTTTATTTGACAGCTTTAGAGGTGGGTTTGATTCCTCTCACAGTACAAACATTTGTATTCATGAGTATCCTGCTCATGATTACATGTTTATATTGGTTTGAATGTTTTCTATGAACATTACTTATATATTTAATAAAAATGTATATAAGTATTTGTTTCTGTTGTTTACTTAGTTCACATTTGTGTAATGTTTTGCTTAGTTTGGGACCAGACAGTGCTGTATGAGTTGTACAGGGTTGTTATTATTATTAGTACTTCTATCTAAACATTTTACATGATCAGATGAACAATGAATGAATAACGACAATTAATTTTTCATACTGGACAAGAGGATCATGGTATACTGAAGATGTTTCGTAAGCCGCTGGTGGTCTCACAGGCACTACCGCTAGCTTTGATAGCTCAGAGTTTTCTATTAATTTAGCTTGATCTTCCTTCCTAAACACAGGATTTTGAAAGTAATCAGGAAAGCTTGTAGGTCTTCCTAAGTAACGTTTTTGTAACTCTGTCCATGGTCTGAAAAGGAAGTTTAAAATTACAGTTACCAATAAACAAGGTATCAAATAAATACATACACAGACGCCTATGATTATTAATAGTTGCTTAATGTCACTTCACTTTATTTCATACAATATACAACAATATAATATACTAAAGGTTAGAAAAATACAATAAGATTTAAAAAAAGTCACCTTATAATATACAATGGATATTTTATGATAGGTAAATAATTAATTACATTACTCATTTTCAATGTGCATACATTAATCTGCAAAATTAAACTTGAATTAAACAGAATTTCTAAAAATCTCAGCAAATTATAACCTAATTTCCTTCGAAATTAACAAACTAAGAGCACATCACAGAGTACTTCTATCTGCTAACAGCCATAGTGATTACTTGCTCAGAAAGTCGTCGTATCATTACTATAGCTCATTTAAGCGCCTAAAAATGAATATTCACAACTAGATGACTAAATTATATTTGACTTTTTACCAAAGGAAAATACAAAATCAATAGATACTCCAAATAGATTTTTACTATTTCATCAACGTATAAATACCAGTAATATTTTAGGTTACTGATGTCATAACTGTCAAATATCAAAGTCAGTCAGGCTTAGATATGTCTCAGTGACCATTGATCAGATTTTATTCTGTCATTTATTTAACTTGTTTGTTTAATTTAATTTTGGCCTTAAGATTTCTAATGTATTCTATTTTTAATAAAATTTGTAAATGCTTTAAAGATGTCCACGATTATTAAATTTGATCTTAAAGAATTACGGAAACTGGGAAACGATAAAAACTCATGTGTTATTGAAAAAAAAGTTACTCAGAATCTAGCACTGCAGCCGTGGTGTCTTGGAAATTTAAAAGAATCTATTAAAAATTTGCTAGATTACAAAATTGGAAAATACGATAAAGAGTATGTAATTGGCAGTTGTATAATTATCTTATGTATTTTCTTTGTAATTTTAATGGCTATTGCCATAAATTATTAAGTTATATTTATTTCAGGTTTAATGGAATTTTATTAAGTTATAAAAATTTAAAGATTCTACAAAATGTTGGTTCAATAAGAAATGACAATGCGGATATTCATTTCCAAGTTCAAGCTGACTATTTTATTTTTCGGCCTCATGTTGGAGCTACTTTAAAAGGAATTGTTAATAAAAAGAGTCCCACTCACTTAGGAATACTTGTACACAGGTAATAACAATAATCCATTCTATTTTGCAATATTATTAGCTGTGTAATGATTGATTGATGTTGTATAAACTTTCAACTTTATAAAATCAACCTAACAAACCTGTAAATACTATTATTATACTATTATACCTTAATATGGATAATTAATTGGTCATCTTTTTAATATCCAGGTAGAGTGATAGTTCAATTATGCTAAATACTGGATGCATTTGAAAAAAACTTAGTAGTTACATCTTAGATTGTTTCATAGCATACTAATGCACTACTAGCACACATGGGTAACAGCTAGCAATATAATAAATTAATATAATATTATTACAGAGTATTCAATGTTGTTATACCCAGACCAACAGAAGAACCTGGAAATAAGTGGATAGGAGAGTCTGTTCAGGAGGGTCAACAGATCATATTCCGAGTAGTAGTATTAGATCTATATGGAGCACTGCCTTACATTAGAGGAGAATTGGATGAAGGGTAATATTATATAAGGCATAATTTTTCATTTAAGTCTATTTTTAAAACTACAATTAGATGTTTTAGGCACTAGACTATTGTTACAAATATAAAGTTTTTTTTTAAATCTATTCTATTCAGAAAACACTCAGACAATACAAATAATCATACTTATGACTACAAATGTTTGCATCATGAGAGTACAGTCAACCCTCCTATAACGCGGTGAGTGCATACCGCGTTGTATGGAAACCGCGCTATAAGAAACTCGGATTTAACCGTACAAACCAAGCTAATTCGTAGCGCGTTCTATGGAAACCGTCTACCGCGTTGTATGGAAACCGCGCTACAAGAGACTCAGAATAAGTACAAATCACATCATTCGTACCGCGTTATATGGAGACCAATAAATACAAAAGACAAGATAAATTATAAATTATTTTTATTGAATTGAAGAGTATGAACTCTTCAATTCAATAAAAATAAGGAAATGATGAAAAAAATGAAACAAAAACTAAACTAAAAAACTGTTTTCCAACAAAAACAAAAGAAAGACTTTTGTAAAATGATGTAATCTTTCAACACTCATCCTCACTGTCAGATATGAGTCGCCTAACTCGCCTTCTTTTAATGGGCAAAATGTCTTCCTCACTTGGTTGATCTTCACATTGGTTTTAAGCGGCTAAGACATAAGCAGAACGTAGTTTTTCTATAGTTCACGCGACAATGTAGTCAAAAGATCACATATATATCTTTCATGTTACAGTTTCGTTAGACACACACACGCATGGCACGCTGTCGATGCGAAACTATTTAGTTAATAGAAGTGGAAGATAGCGCATGAGGAGCCCCACTCGTGAACCACGCTGATATAAACATATCCAGTTAAAACCATTCATTGGGTGCACGGAAAGAACTGATGGGACGTTGTTGAACGGAAACCGCGCTGTAAGAGTACCGCGTTATAGGAGGGCTGTCGCAATTTCAGCTCCGCGTTATATGGAAACCGCGTTCTGAGAGTACCGCGTTATAGGAGGGTTGACTGTAATCAAATTTGTGACCGTTGGAAGTAAAATGGTGTTCTAAACCACTGAGGATATATATAATTGTTATATATATACATAACTATATATAAATATATAGGGTGGTAAACCATAAAATGTTAATAAATGAAAATTGTAATTAATTTTAATGGAGATATATAAAATTAACAAAGGCATGGACCACTGTCAGTGGATTGTCAATTCAATATGCAGTTTTGCACTAATCATTTTGTTATTTCTAAAGACAATATCTAAATAAGTTAATAAGCTTTATATACTTATATTATGCAAATATAAAATAAAATATGAAACTTGTAATATTGAAATTTATAACTATTTAACAAAATAGACTTTGTAAAAACTCGTCGGTGTAGGTAGTATCTTTTTGAGCCAGCTATTTTAGCTGCCAAGCAGTATTTTTTCTAAACGTATGTTTCCATTGAATGGCAGTGAAAGTTTGGGATATGACACCTTAGGTCTCTAGAATGTCCATTCTTGGCTTGTGTACCATTCCAATGTTTGTTTCAGGTCAATACAGTTTGAACCTGATGGTGATGATGAAGATTATGAATCAAAGCCAGCTCAGGGAATAAATGTGACGCATGTCAACTTTGATAAAACTAAACCTTACCATCAGAGGCAAATTGGTGATGGATTACCAGAGACTTCTAAAAATATTCAAAACAATGGTATTAAAAGCAAACAAAAACCAAAAATTAACTCCCTTTCTCCAGAAAAATACACAGACCAGACAAATAACAAGTCTAATCCAAAAAAATCAAAAAAAGTTGACAGTGACACGAGTACCTCAGAGAAAAGTAAGACTAAAAGACAAAGTAAAATATTAGACTCAGATATAAAACAGCCTGAATCAAGCTCAAAACAGCCGAAAAAACACAAAAGAGATATTTGATTATTAGTTCATTATATTTTTATTAAAAAAAAATATTTTTTTTCAATATACAACAATAAGTATACAATTATTGTTTTTATTCTTAGTAGGGTTACTATGTTTTGTACTAACTAATGTAAGCTTAGTATGAAAATTAATATGAGTTTGAATCCATAGGTGGTAGAATGTAGCTTGCATTACTCCAATGGTAGAAACTTATAGACCAAGTTTGCTGTATGTGATTTGTTCAGTATGTGGCAAGGTTCTTTTCTCTCAAAAATGGTCCAAGCTAATAGTGTAAAAAGTAAACACATGGATAAATATCACAGGCTACTTAGACCACTATGTTATCAAGATAATTCCAACACAAAATGCAGTATAATTCTTAAAATGTCGAAAATAAAAAATCCTGAAATTAATTAAATAGAGATGTCTGTAATAATTGAAGCCCATTGTTGCGGCATTCAATCCTCTTGCTACCCATAATCACATATGGACCCTAGAAAGAAGTAATTCCATCAAAAACATAAATGTAAAATAATAGCCGAGTTAAATATTATGATATATGCCTTGATTGTTGACTTCTATGACAATAGAGGTGAGATCTAAATGGGTGCCAAGTTCAATGGTCTGTCCTGAAATGTAGTTATAACAATATAAAATATCATTTCTTCTTATAACTTAGGATAAGGTAAGGTCTGACTTCAGTTTTCTTGGTTCTTCATCCTACCAGACTCATTGAAACCGTATATTGAGTAACAACGGTGTATACAATTTCGTATCAAATTATAGTACAGGTAACAAAAGCAATAGGTGAAAAAATAGAGCTTAAAATAACGAATTTGATATGCAATTGTATACACCGTTGTTACCCAATATACGGTTTCAATGAGTCTGGTAGGATAAGGAACCAAGAAAACTGTCTGGCAATTTAGGAAACTCAGTTTGAGAGAACTGTCAATAATATATATAAAGTTCAGCTTTATTAAAATGACGTAAGTTTATTTCTAAAATAGTATAGTTTAGGGGGGTCCGGCGGGGGTTGGAACCACATTAAGGGTCTGGCAACGAGCAGAGCAAGTTATAATACTGTTACGAGCAATATGTGAAAAAATGGAGCATCTTAAAATAACGAATTTGATATGAAATTGTATACACCGTTGTTACCCAATATACGGTTTCAATGAGTCTGGTAGGATAAGGAACCAAGAAAACTGTCTGGCAAATTAGGAAACTCAGTTTGAGAGAACTCTCTATAATATATATAAATTTCAGCTTTATTAAAATGACGTAAGTTTATTTCTAAAATAGTATAGTTTAGGGGGGTCCGGCGGGGGTTGGAACCACACTAAGGGTCTGGAAACGAGCAGAGCAAGTTATAATACTGTTACGAGCAATATGTGAAAAAATGGAGCATCTTAAAATAACGAATTTGATATGAAATTGTATACACCATTGTTACCCAATATACGGTTTCAATGAGTCTGGTAGGATAAGGAACCAAGAAAACTGTCTGGCAATTTAGGAAACTCAGTTTAATAGTTCTCTCAATAATATATATAAAGTTTAGCTTTATTAAAATGACGTAAGTTTATTTCTAAAATAGTATAGTTTAGGGGGGTCCGGCGGGGGGTTGGAACCACACTAAGTGTCTGGCAATGAGCAGCGCAAGTTATGATAATGCTACGAACAATATATGAAAATATAGAGTTTCTTAAAATAACGAATTTGATATGATTTTTTTTTACACCTTTGTTATCTGGTACCTGCCAAAGGAACCACGATCCAGGTTTCATGTTTGGGGATCGTTCTTACCTGTGTTGGGGACACACATACAAGAACTTTCACGTTTACTAAAATGACGTATGTCTGGCAGTCGTGGGCTCTTGGGCTATTAGGAAGAACTAGAAGAATAGACCAGAAACTGTAAATGTAGGGTAAAAAAAATTTGTGCACCGAATATGCCCCATTTTATTACTCAAGCTATACATTCGATGTGAAATTCTAGATTACGAGAAGTAGAAATAAACTATTCACCAAAATCAACAAATGTGGGAGATCCACCTTTATTGAACTTATAAAATATTTAATACATTTTCGGAATATTTCGAACAATTTATAATTAATAATTCACAACTACAGACATAAATATAAAAATAATAAAATTATTTTCAAAAATATTCATACAACACACTCAGAAATTTATAATGAACGCTTATAAATTGTTTATTAATAAATTAATTCTGCATTTTGTCCAATTTCAGTACTATTTCATCGAAAACTATATTTTCTTACAAACGCACTAACTAAACTTTATCACATCTAAATACGACGCTATCCAAAGCCATACAATCACTATCACAGCACAGAAAAATATTAGTTAAAAAAAATATTATGTCAAACAGTTGCTTTCGTCGTATGTTGTAGCTATTTCTTTCCTTGCGATAAAATGCATAAATATAATAATACATTTTTATCCCTTATTATGAAAACGTGACCGATTTTATACTTAATTACTTCAGATGGATAATTGGGAAATCATTACTTACACCAAAGAATAGTGAAAACGATTTTACTCTGTATTATCTAGACAAAAAATGTCGAAGAATGGCGAAGTGACATCAAATCAAGGTAAAAAAACTCTAATTCCTTTTATCAGATTCTGTTTAAATGTTGTTTACCAAGTTACCTTAACCATGATTTTCTATTTCAGGCCCCAGTAGACCTATCATGCCAAAACCAGATTTGAATTTATTCAATTCGGAAAAACGTAAAGTACTCGAGCTGCCTTTCGGAAGCTCATCGGGCGATGGAGCCGCTTTTATGCCATTTCCTGCAAATACTTCTACGGCACCGAGACCCAGAGTGCCATCACGTACTATAAGAGATGTTCTACCCGATAATACTAGGTTAGTTTTTTAATTTTATTTACTTGCAATAACAATACTAATAACTTGAGTACAGCTATTCTGCGAAACCACTTTGCAGTTTTTTGGCTTCTGATTCAATCATTTATAAGTAGTTTTTGTAATCCAATAAGCTATTTTATATATAGGTAATTATGGTAAAACCTAACCTATATGTGGATGTCTTAACAGCATACATTTATGTGTGCAAACATTTAATGATAATCACATCATATTCTAGATTTAGTCATTATGCCAATAGTGCAGTCATTCATAAGATACTACACAGTAGAAAGTGATAAGTACATTGTATGTGGTGAATTTGAAATACCAAACAGATATGTCATATTATGTATTTATATTATAATTTTATGATATAATAAATCTCTATGAAGTAAGTTATGGTATCCTATTTTATAGGCAGTATTAAGGACTAGAACACTTATGATATGTCAAATCTACTGTTTTATGATTTGCTTTTAGATTTTGTTTTAAAGAATATTATTATTCTCTATTTGTTATGGGTAGGACACATTTTTATGTCTAAATATCAGATTTAGGCTGATAAATGTGTAATTTATAAATCTGACATATAAACACTGCCATTGTTTAATAACAGATGTATATCTTAAGATAATGACTATAAGAGATCTCTCAAGTCAAATAGTATTGCTTCAAGTTGACAAGTATATTACTACTCATTGTCCTAAATTCTAAGCTTCTATATTTTTTATGCTTTGAATGAATTACAGTTTAATGCAGCAAAATATTTCATTGTTTCTGATTTCCCACTCATTCCACTTTCTTTCTTTGCTGTCCAGGCTGTTAGTTTATGGAACTCACTCCTCTTTTGCAATTCAGAGCATTTGTATCTTATCATGGAATTTATAATTTTCTGTATGTGGTGCAATAATGAGTAGTAATCTGTAAATATTATATGTGACAAGTTTGTTTACAGGGACAGAAATAGAATTTATCCATCCATGCAATCATCAGGTAAACTTCAACTTTCTGCAACAGAAATATATGATTTTACAGCTGATGATCTGCAGGATTTGGGTGAAATTGGACGAGGTGGATTTGGAGCAGTCAACAAAATGGTCCACCGAAAGTAAGTTTATCATTTTCTAATTAATAGTATCTGTTTGAATAGTATACAAAATTAATTATAGGTATACAACTGATGTACACCATATAAAATGCACCACTTATGTTACAATATATAAATATATAAAAACTTTCAAAAACCTTTCTTAGCAGATGCTAGCTTATATTACAAAACAAACTTGGTTCAACTTTATAGAATAAAAAAATATTTCTAGGCTGTGTATTGATTGTGAGTCAACACAATGTTTTTTTTTTATAAATAAAGTAGACCCGTGGTAATCGGCCCCCCTTGTAATCGGATATGGTCTATTATTTATTATTGAATATGTTTTTTTTTTACAATCTTGGCTAATGCATGAATGAACAAGTTTGAACTTGTATGTGTCACCACTGTTGTACTCGACGCGTAGGGTTTTGATTATGATTGCTTAGTTAAATTGGACTATTTGCATGTGATGAAGATAGCGGTGCAGTATTTACTATGTGTTCATTATTTACTGTTTATTAATTGTGTATTACCTATCAGTTCAGAAGCGAAAGCACAAAATACTTACAATTCAAGAAAAATGTGATATTTTAGACGGCCTAATTCGTAACGAATCTTTTAGTAGTTGACATACATAATGAAATAAGATTTGTACTTCAGAATGCATATACATACATATATAACATAGAATCTTATCACTGGACCTGCAATTTGTCGGATGACCAGGTACTCTTTTGTAAAAAATTCCGGACTATAGGGGACTCCTCAGGCCCCCTTTATAATCCGACAAATTCGATTGTCTGACACTGCCCTGCAAAACAATTGTCGGATAACAGCGGGTCCACTGTACAAATAATTGAACACAAGTATTGCCATTATAATGGCTTTATAATTATGTAAATTTTTGCATTCTCTACTCCTTCTTTTCAGAACTAATCGTGTTATGGCTGTAAAACGTATACGATCAACTGTGGATGAAAAAGAGCAAAAACAGTTATTAATGGACTTAGAAGTAGTAATGAAAAGCAATGAATGCCCATATATTGTTGAATTTTATGGAGCATTGTTTAAGGAGGCAAGTATTCTAATTTTATTATTTCTTTAGAATACTAAAAATACATAAAATTGTCATATTTTACACAAATATTTATTCTAATGCAATTAGAATAAATATTTGCTTATACACTGAATTAGATTTCTATTAAGTAAAGATCTCAAATAGAGATAATATCAATAAAACATGTGGCATGATATGTCATTTAACTAAAATTATAAAGGCTGTGTATATATTTGTATTTGTAATACTGTCACAAATTTAATAATTTATAAAATAATTATGATACTTAATTTCTTTAAGGGTGATTGCTGGATATGTATGGAACTTATGGATACATCATTAGACAAATTTTATAAATTCATATGTGAAAGAATGCAGAAACGGATACCTGAAAATATTATAGCTAAAATTACACTTGCGACAGTCAAAGCTTTAAATTATTTGAAAGAAAAACTAAAAATAATACATAGGTATGTTTTTATCTAATTTATTGTTGTTTGGTTGCAAATTTAAAACTACTGTTATTTTTAATAATGATAAACATTTATACAGCTTAGTGGCATATTTATTTTACATTGTATTAGCATAATACAATGTGGAAAAATATAAAATAAAATTGAAAGTAATTTTGCACTATAAGTTTAATTGGCCTCCACTCAGCTGGTGTTGCAAGTTTGCACTGATTTTGAGTGGAGTTTCATGTTTTTATTAAATTTATTTTAATTATAATAAAGATTAATAAAACTAAATGTAATACATTTATAAGTTAATTAGATTAATTGGGAAGCATCTACCTACAATCAATATATGAAAAATGTATAGTCATGTATGATAAAATTTAAGAAGTGTGTTAAATAGAATTTTTAACTATATTATAATACAACTTGAATATAAACTATACGAACGTATAAATATACGTATATTTGATATTTGTATATGTACTTGACTCACCTGCCTCATTTAGGACTTTTGTACTTGAGCCAAATGATGTTTAAAAGACGAAATGAATTATTCAATTATTTCCTTTTTATTTTTAGGGATGTAAAGCCATCAAATATACTTTTAGACAGAAGGGGCAATATAAAATTATGTGATTTTGGTATATCTGGCAAATTGGTAGATTCTATAGCCCGTACACGCGACGCTGGATGTAGACCATACATGGCAGTAAGTAAAAATTGTTCTTAATAATACAATCACTTTATTTTAAATCACCAATCAATTGTTTTCAGGTTCGCTTCTTTATCTTTATGGAATATAAAAGCAATGCAATTTAGCAGAGTTTATTTTCGAGTGAAAAGATATCTTTATCATTTCACTCGAAAATGAACTTTGAAATCAGATTTATAGGATATGAAATGTTTAAAATATTTATATAAACAAAGTTTTAGTCTGTAAAAGATTTAGTAAAGTGTGGTCTAAATTCATTCAAATTATTTAAAATGACAAATAAAATTAGACGTTTGTGTAAAACGTGATTATAGTGATTTGTGATCACCACAACATATATTTTATTATCAAAATTCCTTCGAACCCTTACAAATTACTTTACAAATTTATAAATAACTTGCAGACCTGAACTATAAACATTGAATTCACATGGTATAATGATGAACATTTAGAATTTATGTAAAATGTATAATAATTAGCTAATCGGTCCATCCGTTCACGCGTCTTGCCCTGACTAAGGGAAATAGGGATTCATTGTATATATAGATATGTGTCATAAATTTCAGCCAGAACGTATTGATCCGGGACGAGCGCGAGGCTACGACGTTCGATCGGACGTGTGGTCTTTGGGAATAACTCTAATGGAGGTAGCGACAGGCGCATTCCCTTATCCGCGCTGGGGTTCTGTCTTCGAACAACTTCAGCAAGTCGTGCAGGGCGACCCACCGCGCCTCACAAATAATAACAACACCTTCTCGAATAACTTTGTTGAGTTTGTTAATACTTGGTAAGATGAGGAATCATTTTTCTTTTGCTTCAATTTATTAAATATATATAATTTACAATAGGCTACATTCCATTTTCATACCCTTACAAGTTGGTACAGTAGATTCAAATGTTCCATGTGTATAAATTCTAGATGTACAGAATATTTTTATTATTATTATTACTATTTTTATTCTCTATGTTTGAGGAATTCTTAATGACAAGGATGGGTGGGTGTCTTAATGACAAAATAGTGCATTAACATATTAAAATTAAGTTAATTAATGAGTTTGTTCAGAATGAATTTTCTGAAAATAAAGTCCCTTCACTTTTTCAAATACTGCTCTCAGTGTCATATATACCCTTACATGACTAGATTACATATGTGAAATTACTTGTTACAGTCTCATTAAAGAAGAAACTCAACGTCCTAAATACAACAGACTATTGGAAAGTCCATTTATAAAAGGTATTGATCAAAGCAGAGTTGACGTTGCAGCATATGTGTGTGAAGTACTTGACGCAATGGAACGCAACGGTGTTAGTCCATTCACCACAGACCAACCTGCACAGGCATGGGTTGATTAATTATTACTTTTGTAAATTGTAATTGCACCCGGCTTCTTTGTACATTGTTGATTTAGTTAAGTCACATTTAAACACACTTGAAGGTTTAATATTAGAATGGTTCGTGTTTTAACGACCTCAGTATACACATATCCAACATGGATAGTCTGCTGGGTGTACGTAGATAGTGTCACATTCTGCTGTAGCAGCAATATAAGGACAATCCCATAGAATATTCTTAGGGCCACAATAGTGATTATGTGTATATGTACATACTAGATTTTACGCGTGACTTAGTAGTATAAATTAATTGGCCGGAAGAACGATGGGATTAGAAAGAGTGAAAACAAGATATTTGAGAATGAAAATATTATGCTGATCTCTCCGTTTTTCATAACATTGTCCATTTAAAATAATGCTTGTGTGAGAAAGAATAAGAGCCCACTTAACCATGTTGAACCCTCGCTATTTAAACAAAAGTTATATCAGCCGATTGTAGATCTTTACATTATTACATATATAAAAAATAGTCAGCTGGCTATACATGGTGTATTATAAGTCAGCTGATAGCACGAACATGTAAAAAATCTGTGAATTTCTCTCATTCTAAAATATATCAGGTGTTACTTTACGTATATATTTTCTCGGATAAATAAATTATCAACTGACTGAAAAACTACAGCCAGCTGACAATTTTATTTAATTAAAATAACCTATTAACTAACATTTAACAAATTTTAAAAGGAGAGGAAATCACAGATTATTTTATTTGTTCCTGCTACAGCCAGTTGACTATTTTTTTCTTTAGTATGTATTTCTTTAACTATATTTGCAATTTGAATCGGTACAAAAAAACAGTATTTTTAAATGTTGTGCTGCTCCTTTCCTCCTCTCTCCAGAAATCTCAGCTGCCTTTCATTAATCTTCATAACTAGGACGAAATAATTGACAAAATTGACTCTGCTTCGCGGAGTATATAGAGAGCAACATTTAATATTTTGTATTTGTAATTTTATGCCCACTTATTATAGCAATATAACTAACAGCATGAATATTTGTGTAATGAGTCGAAAAGACGCGATCCAAATGGCGGACTCATGTTCGAATTTGTAGCTGTGACAGAGATTGTATAGAACAGTAATGGCGGAATATATAAGCTCAGATATCATTAATTTCTGGAGTAGGTACCCTGATTAGCTCTTAAGCGAATAGAATAATAGATTCAGATAGGACTTAATAAATATGGTTAATGTCTGTTAACTCTACTGTAATTACGGTAAAATAGAGTTGCAGTATAAATAGTATTTCTATATGAAAAGATTGTAGCATATATGTTAGGACAAGTAGAACAATTCTTTAAAACATAATATTGAAGTTTGCAGTTGTAAAATGTTTTATACATGCATCGGTATTTAGTATGATTCTGTAAAATTTATAATTTATACCAGGTTCTCAATACATACACTGTAGTTGTTAAGTTATATATTACTTTAATAATTATATCTCTGGACTATTCACACTGCATCATCTAATTCCAGCCTAATTAGATCTTGTTTTATGAGAAGTGGTACGCATATCTAAAAAAAAATTAAGTATGTATATCTACTGGTTGACTAGACAACTGGTACATTTACTTAGATATATATTTTTTTAATTACTGACAATATACATTCAAGACCCACACCAATGAACCCTGCGAGGAATCGACCCCACGACGATCGGAAGTAAAGCGGTGTGCTATACTGCTAGACCACCGAGGCCGTCACACATGCCAGTTTATCGGGTATAAATTAGTTTCTATCAATCCAATGTTTTCTGTGACTTGATTTTCGAATACCTAATTAAAAACTAATCAGCTGTACTTTATCCCGCTTCTAAAACATCCACATAGACGCATTTGTCTCCAAAAATATCGTTTCCACTGGGATAAAACTAATGCGTGAAAAATAAAGTGCAAAAAGAAAAAAAATTGAGCATAAACTAAGTGTCCTAAGGATCTGGATGGCTAAGTTGTAGTGGTTTTCTATTTAAAAGATATTGAAATTGGCAGATTTTTAAGGAAAAATCAAATTTCCTAGTATTTATTGTAATTCTAGTCTGAATAAGTATGCTTCTATTTTATATGGGTATCATTGAAGCTATCGCCAATTTAATTAGTTTTGTTTCTTAAATACTAGATTTGTCACCAAAATGTGATGTGACCAAACAATATAAAATCAATTCCACAATAAATCACCTAAAATCATGGAGATAGAGTCTAGTAGCAAATAAATGTTTTTGTATATATTATAATAGGTTTGTCTTAATAAGTATTTAAGCAAACTAATTTCAAGAGATCACCAATAAATCATATGATGTCACTAGAAAATTTCATAGAGTTCCTACTACTTCAATAGAGATATGCCATGCCATATGGGGGAGCCAGGGATCTTAATTTCTACAGGTAATATATTTTAATAAAATTTCTAGCAGAATAGTAAATAAATCATTTAATTAAAGTAAGTAATCAATCTACTAAAATAATAATTATTGAATAATCAGCGCTGGTTTGGATTTAGAAGAGCGCCTCCTTTTTCTTTTCTGGCCGATAAGCACATTTTTTGCTTCTGGTTGGGGTTGGCCAACTTTAAGCATATGGCTAATCCGATAATATGTTTACAAATATATTTTTTGTAAAACGCAACAGGGCAACGAGCAGTTGCATTTCCATCGTTGAGGCCGGATTGGTCAATTTTTAAGAGCACGCCGATTTGTCTCCGCCCCTTTGAACGTTTTCATTAAAATTATAAATTGACGTATTAAATTGGTAACGAATACTATTATTTTAATAACTGAACGAAATAAAATGTAACTACTGTATTGGGACAAATAACAAATAAAAAGGAGTCGCAATCAGGGATCGATAATCGATTTATTTGGTGACAGACCTACCATTCTGAACACAAAACTATTATTTAAGTAATAAAACTGTAATTATAAGAACGAAGTTTATATTGCACTACAATTTTTTTTGGTAATCTATCTCTTATTTTACACATATAAAGATTAATTTGATCATTCATATCTGGGAACACATTTTGTTTATCTGAGAAATATTTCGTGGCGATAGATCTATTTATTAGGTGATACAACTTGATGACAAATATAAAGTTATAGCATAGGTAAATGCCCTAAATTGCTCCAAATGATGAAAGAAGCCATTGAATATGTCCGTGTCGCTTTATTATATATGTAAGATAGCCTGTATGTTATTTTGATTCATTTTGGTTCAGAATGATTAAAAATGTATTAGTTACCTTAACATGTTTTTTGTAATGTAGCATAATATCTAACAATAATTTACGCTTTATTTTATGTAGGTATAAATTTTTCATTTGATATAAATATTGAAATAATAAAAAAATTAATCTAATTTTTGTCCTAGACGGCTTGGAGAAATTTGTTTTCTTCGATATTTACTTATTATTTCAATTAAAAGCAACAACAATAGTTCGTTCTACGCTTTGTACAACGTCATCTAGCCCTGAACAAACTAAGTTACTTAATAAAATAAATTGGCTAAATAAGAACTAAAATAAAATTCAAACTTATGGTGTAATGTTTTCTAATTATGTTAAATGCTAAATTGTTACTATTATGACTTAATAACATCAGCTAACAGACATTCCACACGTCACAGCCAGCTGACATTTTTATTTATTCAAAATAAATAATGAAACTTATGAAGTAACATCTGACAAATTTTGTAATGAGAGAAAATCAGTTTTTTTTTTACATTTTCCTGCTATCGGCTGACGAATAATCAATCCACCATGCTAAAGCCACTTATTATTATTTCTTAAATTCAATATTTAGGGTTAAGTATTATTTAATACTAATTTAGATCAAGAGGAAATGACGGAATTAATTTTTTTATATGTTGCATGGGTGCTGCTTGTCAACCCACTCTCAGAAACAAAGTTGATACTAGGTTACAACTATCTTATTCATCTTAGAAGTTTTTGACCTGGAGAAAATAGTTTACTTGAACCTGTTGCCTGGCTCACAGGCCATTATATTTTTAGGAAACCTGCGGGACTAACAAAGTGATTTAGTGCAAGTATAAATAATAGTATCAAGTTATCATGTGTAATTATATATATGTGTACATGTTCTTTTGTATTCCATTAGTATCAATTTGTACAAAATGTACCTACACGTATTTTATGTTTTGCCTTTAACACTACTGTTTATGAGAGTCTAGTAAAAAAATGTAAACAATAAAACAATATAATATATTATTATTATACAGTTAAATGAATTCATAACAATAAAAGTGTGTAATAAATAATAGACCAGTGCTTTGTTACAGGTTTATTGCCAGATTGACTAGTCCAAGAAAAATAGTTTTACCCTCCATATAGTTTCAATATACCTTACATTACAAAAATATTGTTTCATCAGAAGAGCAAAAGTTTCTAGACTATTCCTACAGGATCCATATGTATTAAGAACCTGGCCATATCTTAAATAGTGATTTTTAAAAACATTATGAATGTGACTGACACTATTTTTCTTTGGCTGATTGAATATATTTTGTGTTATTAATACACGGATCCTGTAGATAATTTGTATATATACAGACAAATTAAAAGCAATAATTTTTATATGAAATTATATCACTGGAATTGGCAAAACTGTTTGTGCAAATTATTATAGGTATTTACCACCTGCATTTTTTCATTGTATTTATTCAAAATTTCTATTTATAAGATTTGGTTCGCTATACTATTGTATATTTAAGAATAGAATGATAAAATAGTGTATTATGTTTTAATTGTTACTTTGGCCCAATTTTTAATCCCAAGTATCAAGTATAATATATTATCTACTTATAATTAACAATAAATATACACAAGCTGAAATATTAGAACATTGAAATGCATAACTATTCAATATATTGTCCAATTTTTGTAGGATTTAAAACTGTACCAAACTTTATAAAAAATCTATATTTAGTACCATCTCTAAGATGTGGAGACATATATACAGCATCCATTGTTCTTGGTGGCAAATCTAGTAATGGTATCCAATCACTTACAGGAATTATTTTATTTATTCTTTTCCCCCAAAAATCAACTGATGATATTTTAATATTTTTATTGTCTTTACTTATATATAAAAATCCTATAACATTGTGAAATAAGATACTGGGTATTAAGAGTGCACATCCAGCAGTTAATCCTGAAACAATTGACACAATAATTAAATATATAAGAATAAATATATTTCTAATAATTATTGTATGGACTCATATAGACTTATATAATATTCTTCATTAAAATGCATATCGCTTTGTTAAATTAATCTTTCGGTCTGTCCACTTTAAGAAATGGTACTGGAGTGTTTCATTGCTTTTTCGATTATAACATGTAAAAATCATTTATTCATATAAAGGACTCTATAGAGGACATGTTATGTACATGTTTTTTTATTCAACATACTACTTAAGCTGAGAAAAGCTGGCTGAAAACTCAATTGTATGAGATAAGTTTCTTGCCAACCCTTCTCAACTAAAGACATATGAACCCAGACACCTAACGACATTACTATGAAAAAAATAAACTCTCCTAGAAAGCCTAAACAAAAAATAAAAACTACATAGATGCCCCAGAAGGAAATGGGAATCAAACTTGAATACACACAAACAAGTGACAGCTTGCGTGGTCTAATGGTTTAACACATCTCTTTACTCCCAATAGTCGCAATTTCGATTGATGGTATTTACATGGTACAATCATCTGTATTCATGAATATTATTTTTTGTATTGATCTCAGTGTTTCCAAAGTATATTATGTATCTATTTTTATAAATCCGTTGTGTCATACTCGTAGCACAAGCTCTGCTGAGCTTATCAAGATTAACTATTTTAGTTAATATCTCTGCACAATTCACAATGTCTAGAGATATTAATAAAATAGTTAATTGGAATACAATATCTTAAATGTGCACCATAGCAATACTGTTCAACTTTTGGATTTATCATAGTTATAACTTTACTTTTGCGTCACCACTTTCCTTAAAATCAATTTTGCCCAGTTTGACTGGTTTTTAGTCATATTGCTAAAATTTTAATAAACTGTGTAATTTCAGTTTTATTTAACTTTGTTAGTATTTTAACATCAACATAACCTTATTCTTTTTGCATCCTCACCTATGTAGAATGTTGCTAAAAATGTTTGCTCTGGTATTACACTCATCATTTCTAACACTCCGCAACTAGGAACTGCTATGGATGATCCAGCAAAATGGTACACTTTAAGTCTATTTAGAAGGGCTATATATTTTATACTTGGAAATTTATATACCGACTCAAATTCCGTAGACTCATTTTCGTGCTTTTCTTTAGACATACATCTTTTAGGCACGTTAGAAAGTCTCTTTAAACTTGTAATGAATTGATTTCTAAAAGATATACTAAACATTATAAGCATGAAAAAATAGAATTAATTTAAATTAACACAAAGTAATATTTGGATTACAGTATTGTTAATACTAAGGACAGATCAGTCTGTCACTCATTCAGTCAAGGGATACCTGCATTGCGATTACTATTACCAGTAAAATAAATTCAGTTTTGTCACTAATAATTAAGGGTTCAAAAATTCTTCTCATTTTATGAGCACATTTAAAAGAATTAAATCGATTTATATATAAAAATTGTTATATGGCTTAAAGGTCAAATGCTATTGTTTTTTCTTCTGGTTACGACGGTTTGCGTTACCATTAGCCATCAAAGCCATTTGCCAGTATCAATCAAATTGTCAGTTCTGTCAGTCAATCAGTGATTTATTTTGTAAAATTTTGGTTATTTGCTACACGTGATTATAGAAATTATTTTATGAAAAATTTAAATATTCTATAATGACGAATATTTTAAAAGAAATGTGAGTATTCGTATATGTGTGTACAATATTATGAAAGTTTAGTTGTACCTGTAATATAAGTAGATATTTTTATAATGTAGCTATTTTTAATCTCTACGTTAAACCTATAACATATAATATATATTTTAAATAAGGGATCATTCAGCATTGATACTTTATGTTTATAGTTATGAAAAGACTGCAGAGTTCACAGCGTTTTATACTGGCGGAGAAATACAATGGACTACAGACGGCGCACATCTTCTATGCCAGTGTGAGGATGATATAAAAGTAATAGATGTTAATAATGTAGCCACGGTTCTTGCTATTGGAGAAACAAATGAAAACACTGAAAGTGATCAGATTTACACGTTTCAAATATCACATGACAACGAAACTGTTATTACGGCACATAAAAGCGGGTTGATGAAATTATGGGATAGGAATACTGGAAAAGAACAAAAGAAATGGAGGTCAGGTCACAAAGGCCCTGTAGCCCGACTAGCATTTGACTCAACTGATGTAAACATAGCTTCAGGTGGCTCTGATGGTAATATACGGCTATGGAATCTAGCCCATCATACTTGCACAAGTAGTTTAAGAGGAGCCCTTGGCGTTTTTACTGTACTCAAATATCATCCTGATTCCACAAAACATTTAATTTTTGGAGCAGCAGATGATACTAAAATAAGGTCATGGAATTCTACTAATGGAAAAGAGAATGTGATATACTCAGGACATTTCAGTAAAGTAACATCATTGTTGTTTACCATTGATGGTGAATATATGATCAGTTCTGGTAGAGACAGAGTGTTAATTTTATGGAAATTGAATGAAAGTAAAGCTCTAAGAGTTATTCCAGTGTATGAAAGTATTGAAACAGCATTACTTTTACCTCAGACATTTAAAATTCCAAATTTTACTAAAAAGTTGGAAACTGAGGGGATTTATGTTGCATGTGCAGGTGAAAAAGGAGTAATAAAAATATGGAATATGCATATGAGTCGTTTAATGTATGAGCAGAACAATAGCTTGGTTTCTCCTGCATCAGAAGAGGGTGGATTAGCAATTCAACATCTTTTATTCAATGAAGCCAGGAATATGTTATCTGTAGTTACTGTTGATCACAATATAATTATTCATGACCTTGAAACATTTGGTTGTGTGAAACAATTGATTGGTTTTACAGATGAGATTTTAGATATCATCTTTATTGGTGAAGATGAAACTCACATTGTTGTTGCCACAAATAGTAAAGATTTAAAATATTATGATCTGCAAAGTATGAATTGCCAGATAATTAAAGGCCATACAGACATTGTATTATCTTTAGCAAGATTTCCAACTAAACCACAAATGTTTATATCTTCAGGTAAAGATAATTCTGTTAGAATTTGGCTTCAAGATGCAAATAATGATATAAAATGTATAGGAATTGGAACAAGGCATACTGCTTCTGTGGGATCAGTGTTTACCTCTCAAACATCTTCTGATTTTTTCACATCAGTCAGTCAGGATAACTGCTTGAAAGTTTGGCAAGTACCTAAAGATATAGAGATATTTGACCAAAAGATAAAATCAACTCATACTGAATTAGCTCATAATATGGATATAAATTGTGTAGCTGTTTCACCAAATGATAAGATGATAGCTACCGGCTCTCAGGATAAGACAGTAAAGTTGTGGACAGAAGATTTAACACTATTAGGGATACTCAAAGGACATAGAAGAGGAGTATGGTGTTCTTGTTTCTCGCCAGTTGACCAAGTAATACTGACATCTTCTGCTGACTCTTCTATAAAATTGTGGTCCATAGCAGACTTAAGCTGTTTGAAGACTTTTGAAGGCCATGAAAGTTCAGTTTTAAAAATTGAATTTCTCAGCAAAGGACAACAAATTATATCAAGTGGTGCTGATGGCCTTTTAAAATTATGGTCTATAAAAAGTTCAGAGTGTAAAATGTCTTTAGATAATCATGATGGAAAGATATGGTCTTTGGCAGTTAACAAAGATGGATGCTTATTAATAACAGGGGGATCAGATTCGAAATTAGTAATTTTAAAGGATGTAACAATGGAACACCGTGACCAGAGAAATAAGGAGAGGGAACAACAAATATTACAAGAACAAGAGTTAATGAATCTTCTACATGACAAAAAAATGGTGAAAGCTCTGAAATTAGCACTACGCATGGAGCGACCTCTACATGTTTTAAAAATAATAAATGAAATTTTAAAAAATGGAAATGACAAACTATTCGAAACTCTTAAAGAAATAAACCACACTCAAAAAGAAACCTTAATACGATTTGCTACAGAATGGAATACTAACAATAAAAACTGTCATGCTGCACAACTCATATTTCACATATTAACTCCTGAAATTATTTCTGGTAACTTAACGTTGCCTCATCTTGATAGTTTTATTGAAGGTGCATTGCCCTACAGTGAAAGGCATTATGATAGATTAACCAATTTATTACAAGATTTAAATTTAATATCATATACTGTTAACTGTATGCAACCCCATGCTATTAAAAATTAATAAAATTATTTGTTAATTTCATTTGTATGCCATACTTAGTAAATTAAAAATCGCTGACAAAACTTTATTATAAAAAATATTAAGTGTCTTTAAAATACTTTTTTAGTTCCTGAAATAACAATTTGTATGTATCGAGATTTAATATAGCTGAAAATTAAAAAATCTGGATTAATAATTACACTGGATTTATCAGTGAATAAATATTTAATGCTAACGCCAACCGTGCTCTGACGCACTATTTGTGTTATGTTCAAATAAAATTGTGAAAATGTTAATTTACCTTTGTAATGTTTTTAAGCTCAACTGGCATTACGTTGAACCGTCGAGTCGTACGCTTGCACAGTCTTTATGGAGCATCCTTGGATAGCAGCTTCCAATGCGCTCTTATGCCTATAGAGTACAGTACAGTACAGTAGTAGTGGAACTATCACACGAAGCGGACTAATCGTGTTGTATTTTAAAGTTAGGTTTTTTGCGAGTGTTACCTCCTTCCCTTACTAATGATACACTTATCATAATGAAGTTAAGAACTTTTTTATCATACCAGGCGCTTATAATTATTTTCAAATATGCTCACGGACAAAAGTAAGTAACTTCAAAATTAATATATTATATATAATATACTTTCATTCATTTATAGAATAATAATAATATAATTTAAGAACCACACTCTTAGTGGATTACTACGAATTTAATATATATACAATACATGCATCACATTTAATAAGAAATCAACCTCATAAAATATCTAAATCAAGTAATAGGTATTGAAATTTTAAACTTCCGTTACGGTCCGAACCGTTCATCTGGCTCGTTGGCAGGGTCCGTTTCTAAATACTTGGCGTAATAATTTAGTTCTACAACCCTTCATTACTCCTGAATAAATAAAACAAACAAAATTTATAGGATACGAACGAAGGTACAAAAGGTCTTATCGCTTAAACGATCTTTTTCAGTCAACCTTTGAGTAAAGGAGAAATTTAGTCTAGTATAGAAGTCTTCAAAAGAAAAATGTAGAAATTTTACTGTTTTTTACTATGAAATATTTAATGAATATTCTCCTAGATCGGAAATGCAGTACAAGCATTTTACCTACTTTGTTTTCTTAAGGATTACCGTTTCTTATACTATTTTATAGGTAAAATATCATTATTACTAGGTATATCAATGTGTATCTGTGATATATAAACAGTGCATTTGCCTCTACTAACGGTTTATGATTAGGGAACACCAGGGCACAAGATATGATGTGGTGGAAGTGACATCAATTAACATATCACACAAATTATGATTATTATTTCATTGTTATCATTAAATAATATCCAGATATAATTGTGTGGAGATTGTCCTGAAAAGGAATTTACTGAGAATTATTAAATATATTTCTTCCAATGTAAGATCTAATTTAAATATAGAAAAGATCTAAAGATATAATAGGAATATGTGATTGGACGAACTTTAATTTTGTAGCCTTCGATCAAGACCATCTGATGGTAAATCATTACGGTAACTTATGAACGCCTGGAACTCTTTCATATTGCACAATATAAAGGCAATAACAAAATAAGAGGCCTACAGACAGACATACTCGTACTTAATGAATTTTCGTTACAATCACAGTTATGGTCTTTTAAGATTGAATCATAACAATGGATTAGGTACTCGTGATTAGTTGTCCCTAATTAATTATTGTACATAAGGTAAACATTTAGTTTAATAATGTCAAGGTTTTATTAGTAGGCAAAAGTTAAGTAGGTAACTAGGTATATACGGAAATGCAGTTTTAAAATGAAGTTGCTTATCTATATAAGCAATAACTAGGTAACATACGTTAGATCTACTCGTAATTTGTATATACCTAAGTACTACGAGAGGCAACTATATTCTACAAATAATTGCATTATACCTTATAGTGTACATATTAAGTGTGTTTAATAGTCTTCTCAATTTTGGTGCTACATGATCTTAATTTTAATAAGTGAACAATAGGCTATAGAAACACTCCATAAGAACTATATCTACCTACATTCTGTTGTTGAATCGCCACTGATTCTCATGGCTAATGACTCTGTGTATTTAGGTACATAATTTATGTACGCTCTGCAAACAGATACCTTTAATATGAGTACTTAGATAATATTTTATAGCGGCATATCCTAAGATTATCCACATAGTTTTTCCAGACCACGGAGTAGTAAATTTTCAAGTAGATCCTGTATGTCCGTCCTTCGAAGTTTTCCGTGAGTAGAGCAACATAAAAATATTTTATGTAGGTAGGAGTAGTAGGAGGAGGTACACGCTCTGTAGGTAGGTACAAAGTAGTTTGCGTGAATATATTCACCTATTTCAGGCCGCCAAGCTGCTGGCTTTTTAACTTGTGTTTCAATAGAAGGGTGAGATGAAGATAGTGAAATTACAGGATAAGAGGCATGATATCTTAGTCATCCGGAATGGCAACATATGAGTGATATCACAGGCATCACATGATTACGCTATGTTCCTAGTACTGTTCAGGTTTATAGGAGACAGTTATCAGTTACCATCGATGGGCCATCAGCTTCTTTGCCTTTCTAGTTATCTAATATAGGTAAACTATATAATTTTATTACCATTTAAATTATTTATAAATTTATAACATTATTAAAATTTTGTATAGTAATAGGTAACTTACGTGCATTTTATGTAAATTCATTAAACCTAAAAATGTTTGCCGGTTCTTTGTACAAAAATATAATTAATTTATTGCAGGAAAGTTAAGGTAACTTTGTATATTATTATGAAGTAGAAATTCATATGTCTTATTCTCTGTAAGTTATGGTATGGCGCTGGTGATAGGCATACCATTATAATTAAAACGTAGGTCGTTTGCGTTTAGTTTGTTTGCAACATATCATAACGACCACGCGGTTGAACCTGATTGTAAAAAATGTAACATACAAAACATTGTTTTAAAAAGTACGTATTCAAATATTAGCTGTACCTAACTATCACCATGCATGGAGCAGGTATATTCCTTAGAAGTGGTGATAAACGGCAGCTGCCTTGAATGGCACAGTGTGATCAGTACCTATATCATGAATTCAGCTGTATAGACAAATATCTATCGGCCACAAGTAATTTTGGTAAGCTTGTCATTCCTATATATCGTATTATTTATTTACTTCTAGAAAATTCTCTAGTCATTTTTTATTAAGCTTCGAATCGAGGTAGCCTTTGTACAAAGTTTTCTCAGACAGAGATGCCCATCTCACCTATTGTTATTTGTAAAATGTGTTTCGGTTAAAATGTGGAATATGGCAGTTAAAATGCAATTTACTCGTACTAGTACGAGATACGAGAAGCTCTATGTAGTAGATATTTGTACTACTATCGTATAGCTTCTTGTAGTATCATGATTGTATTAGCGATACTACTATTTCCATTCGATAAATAAAGAGTGTTATTAGTATGTATTAGACTTTTCTTGACAGTTACAAAATGTACCTAAATAACTTAACTAGTGGCTATATATACCTAATGAATCCATTCATATGAAACATTGTTTTGACCGTACTCATTAGATATTGCTAAACATTACTGTAAATTAGTAGGTAGGTACTATAAATTCGTAAAATTTTGGAAACCTAAATAATACTTCCAAACAAACTACTTTTATTCAGTTGTTATGTTACTTTGATAATGCTTAAATTATGATGCTTCTGGGATTATTTTATTAAATTTAAAGTGAAACTGAACACAATTATTATACAGTTATAACGTTCCGATGTAAAAATTAGATCATTATAAATAAGTAATAAAAGTATCTATTTATCTTGAAGCAAATCACTAAAATATGTATCTATGTTTAATAAACACGCAGAATATAATATGTAGACAAAAAAATATTGATGTGAATAACTCCATTAATTCACCACGGTATAAGTATAGTGTAATGACAAGGATTGTTTGAAATAAAACAAGTTTTATTTTTGTACATATTCTCCTTTATTAACTTCCTTATCACATGATTTCTCAAACTCCTAGAAAACCACTCTCTTCTTCGTCTTATTAGATATATCTTTTATTAAAAAACGGGTAATTCTGGTGAGGATAGATCAGTTTAAATTACCGCAGTATCTGTTATAGTTTATCCAGAGTTCATATTTACTTAAAATAACAATAATAATGTGTGCTTTGATTTAACTACAAAAAACTAAAAATAGTCATAAATATTAACTTATTACTATCACGGGACTAGGTAAAGGGGACTGATATTTATTAAAGAACTTCAAACGAATGAAACCAATGTTCGTATTCAAATATATTTTTTACACCAACGAAATAAGTTTATAACCATGACTAAATTTTTCATTTATCATAATTACTGCGGTATTAGTTAAATGACATCATCTAGCTCTTTTCTTTAATTCAAAAGTATACCATTATACAAGTACATACATACTGAGTTTAGTTCTATGTTTATTATATTGTATTGAGTCCCAGGTTTCGCATATTTAAAGAAAAATAATGAGAGACAGGCTACGTACCTACTACATGTGTATATACTTACTGGTCCCAAATTTCTATTCATTACGTCTAACTTCTATTTTATTTATACTATAACTTTTGGACATATTACTGACAGAAATTTAATACTTTTTTGTAAATATACATACAGACAGATACCCAGAATAATACAAACAGACATTATTGAATTCAAATAGTTACGTTGTGAGTGACCTCGCGAACATTGATTTCAAAGCAGAGCATTAAACCGCCAGATCATCCAGGTAGAGAGATATCTGTAATATGTTTTATTTTTCAGTTTTTATGACCAAGGACGCAAAATCATTTGTGATGGCGCTCTATTTAATCGCATATACACACCTGTAAACACCTCTAAAATGTCATTCTCTAGGATCAATGAATATTTTTTAAAAGTAAGATTATAAATAATCGCTTAATTGTTATCTGCATAGGTGTAATTAATAAAAAATGCCTTTAAATATTTTTTTATACCA